GTAAGTGCTGTGTAATCATGCCAGCAGGATTTCTGAAGTACAGTCAGGCAAAAGAGCTGGCATAAGCACGAACAGAGAAACCCCAAAGCTGTGTCAGAACAAAGCTTTGTTGTTGAGGTTCTGTGTGGTAAGTAGACCTTAAGCTACTGTTCTGTGAGAGATGAATTTTAGTCTCTATGTTTAATTATTGATATAATAGTATTACTTTCTTTGGTTTCCTGTTCAGAGTTTTCACTTTATTATTTCAGTGTTGAAACTCACGATATCTTTTTTCTAACTAAACAGTGAGAGAGAAAATTCTTCTTACCTTTTTCACATGACTAATATCTGTCATGAAAGTAATGCCCATTTTACACACATTAAAAATAGGCACTGACAAGGATTTCTGGAAGTCTTAGACTTCTCCAGATGTTGAAGGAAACCAACAGTCAAATCTGGTTCATGGCAGGAGATGCTCTGTGCTTGGTATGCCCGTGTTCTGCCAAAGCAGCATGGAGCTCTAGGTCTTCTGTTCGTATGATAGCAGGTTGTAAATCCAGAGATCTTGTAAAAGTACAGCTCCAAAATACTATCTCCTGGTCTGTGCTGTGCTGGTACCTACCTGTACTCCATCCTCTAGTAAAAATGATTTGATACCTTGAAATCCTGTTCAGTAGCTTCATATCCAAGTAGAATCAACAGTAGTCTCAAATTGCTTTTCTAAACAACAAACCAATGTTTTACAGCTTCCAGAAGTTCAGAGAGGAGTTGTCAGTGGTCGATAATCACATTATGAGAGCAGATTATATTTCATACTAATCTTTATAGATGGTCCCTGGGTGTCACTCTTGAGTCAGATTGAAACCTTTTAGAAGCAGATTTAAGAATTGTTTTTCCTTTTCTTTTCTTATGTTGTTTCTGCATGTCTCCGTTTAGGGCTCAGGGCAAACCCAAACTAAACAAGGAGCAGGATTTTCTCTCTATTGTCCCCCACCCTCCCAGGGGAAGGAAAAAAAAAAGGGAATAGAGAAGAGATGCCTCACACAAGGTTGGAAGTTGAGACTGTAACAAGTTTAATGAAAACCAAAAACGAATCAGAGAAAGGAAAAATGAATGAATAAGGGACAAAGGATATTTAACTCTATACAAACCCGATCCCAGTAGTCCCCAGTGGAAGTGTCCCAGCAGGGCCTCGTGGCTGCTGTGACCACTGTGACTCGTCACCAGGGACCGCAGTGGTGCCAGGAGCGGGTGGTGGTGGATGCTGCCAAGCAGTGGAGGTAGGCCCAATTGTCTGGAGATGCGACAGGAAACGGCCCAGGAAACCAGGAAAAGCGCTCAGGCCTCCTCGGTTTTTTAGGCTGTGGCTGGAAAGAGGAGGGAACAGTACTGATCTGTGACCCCCAGGGTCCTACAGATCAGTGAATCATTGAATGTATTGGGTTGGAAGGGACCTTTAAAGATCATCAAGTCCAACCCCCCTGCAGTGAGCAGGGACAGTTGCAGAGAAACATCAACAGGCTGCAAACCAAGGCACTGCAGAAGCTGGGATTCTCATGAGAACATTATTAAGAGAATAAAGAGCAGCTGGGATTTATACAAAGGCAATCTCTAAAAGACTAAACTATGTTCTTATTAAGTATGACAGGACCTTGGGCCAGCCTAAAAGTAGGAGTTCAAAACTACACAAAGCACAGTGTGCCTGGGTTATCTCGACCAGAACCCTGGCTGAATGGTATGCGTGGTGTGTGGCACGATATCTCTGTCTTGGAACACCTGGCCGTAAAGTATGGGAATGATGGATGGGAAAGTGCTGTAGTATGCAAACATCCTGATCGGCTGCAAAGTCAGGTCCTTCTCTGTAGCTATAAAAGCAGAGGTAGAAAATAAAAACTTCACTTGGCATTCATCTGCTGGGTCGGTTTCTTGTGTTCAGCTCACTTCAATTTAGAATGTAGGTCATTGCATCTGAGTCACAATTATTTTAGGAATCACAATATTAACACTTCTGCATATCGTGCAGCAGATGTATTAGAGTACAATGGCAGCGTGCTGCTTTGGAGAGAGAGGTGTTTTGCATACACAAGTGAAGCCATTGCCAATAGGTGAAAACATACACTTCTTCTGGAGTAGGAAAACAGAAGAAAGAATTTATTAGCAAAAAGTGAAGTAGTTGTGAAGCCTAATACTACTGCTTACAGCAGGAGTTATATCCTGTAGTTCCTTTCATTAGTTGTTAATTGTACTCGTAAAGCAACGTCAAGTCTTATACTCATCTCTAACATTTTTCCCAGAAGTCTTATATTTGGGTTACATCCACTGGGAAGCATCTCTGCCTCAAGGTGAGGGTACCTGTGTAGCATCAATAGATCATCTTAAAGATGTTCCACATAGCAGCACTGAGTTTACAGCGTGCCTTGAGAATCTCCGTTTATTATTTTTCAGATATTGTTATCTGGTCTATGTGATTTCTTCCAAACTACTGTTAGTGTTGCTCTGTCAAAATATGCACAGAGGAAAGGGGAAGAATGTGCATTGCCTGGAGGACACAAAACAGTACAAAATCACCATTGTCTACTTGCTGCCACTACCCCTCTGAACTGCTGTGTCTTACCAGTGACATCCTCAGTAAGAGCTTGGCTTCTTTTTACTGAACTCACTGAGACTTCAGTTACTGTTCCACAAATGTTACCTCCTTAATGTGCTTGAGAAAAGTCACGTCAATGTAGTCTCATGAGTTTCAAACTTGGAAATAGAAGGTGTAGCGTGCACCTCACTGAAGGGGTATTCCATAGGTCCACAAAATGAACTTTAACTCTTTGTTTCATCAAGCCACCCGAGAATCACAGAGTCACAGAATGGTTTGGGTTGGAAGGGACCTTAAAGCTCATCCACTCCAACCCCTGCCATGGGGAGGAGCAATATCCCAGTGACTAAATCTCTAGATTTTCATCTTTCCTTATAACCGAGGGTCTTAGATGTATTCTGTACAACACAATTATGGAGTAATTGTTGAACTTGCACTTTAACAGTAGCTCATTAAAAATCAGAAAACCACTCATTTACAAAAAGTAATTCTTTCATCATCTATGTGTGAGGGAAACAGGTACGAAGGATGTTGTCTGAAGTTGCAGAATGAGTCAGTGGCAAACTCTGAAACTGCATTGGTCATATCTTACTGCTGTGCCTCCTGCCTCTTGTTTTTTTCATCTTAAGCTCCTAGGACTGGGACAAAAAGAACAGAAAGTGAGCACAGTTTGCATATTGCAGGAAAACATCATCGCCATGGCCCACCACCATGAGATAACCCACAGAATTCTAAAGACAAGAGCAGTTCTTATGAACTCATGTTTGGAGATCCTCTTGCTTTTCTACAGTTTGTAATGTTCAGCACCTGTTCAAGAAATGTCCTCTATAAATAACCACTTTCTGTTTCAGATAAAATTTACACTGAAAATTATCTTGGTGCAGCTGTTCAGTTTTTCTAGAACCGTGAGTTGCCAAAAAAGGAACAGCAATTCCTTGGGGGCCTCAGAGTTAAATCCTTTTTTATTTAACACGACACTATGTGGTGGAGCTCTGGTCGAAGCCTGTCTGTTATTGCCAGCTGTTCTTAGATTGGCTAAAACCGAGAACTGAAAAGCCCTCTGTAGAGGTCCTCACTCTTTTACGAATTCTGTGGCATCCCAGTTCCATAATTACTGACCCTGATGGCACACTGCCCCAAAAATGAATACTTTGATAATTTGCTGCTCTCCTGTAAGCCGTGTCATCTTCGCTGTTCTAGTACACCGCCACCTTCATGTGAAAACTACTGTGATAACAGTAAGTAGCGTTTCCACAATGCTTTGTGGCTATACTGGGCATTTTCATGTTGTGTTTTACATAGAGTTGTAAACATAAAAACTTAAATCAATCTAAAATCTGGAAAGAGGTTATCAGAATATCATATAGGCTCAGAAATATGGGATGCGTGCAGTGTGTTCTGCATGAATACGTGTGTTAAGAAGAGTGAGTTTTTAAAGCTCTCAGGCGTTAGTTCAGCTGTCATTCAATAGTAATAGAAATGACTCCTGTGCCATAGGAGCTGGTTTATGTGTTGGACGTGTTTACTGTCCATTGGTTATTGCTTACAATGAATTTTATGCATCTCTCTTATTTCATAAGGTACTGATTCAAGTGGAGTCCTTTGGATTTGTCTGGGCTCAGGAGTAATTTTAGTGCTCACTCTGTTCACCTTCATGGTCTTGTTTAAATGGAAGCATCTAAAGCAACTAAAAGAAAAACTGAAAAACACAGGTGAATAAATAAGATTCTTTATAAAATAATTTTAGACCATTGTACATTTTAGCTACCCTCAGCACGTATAAATTTTGCATATAATTTATGTTCCAGGTTCTGATAGCTGTCTGCTGGATTGTTTTGTATTCCTCAGATGGTCTCAATGAAGTTATCAGGGAATCAAACATCCGGATGATAACTTGTAAAAGCAGCAGTCGCTGTTTGTTAGTTCTGGATCATGCCAGGATTGTTTTGTTACATATTCATACCTGGCTTTTTTGCTGGTGTTTGAGAAATCATTTATGAAGCCTCGGTAGCAAAATAGAAGGGTTTCATCTTCTCAATGAATGCAAAAGGAATTCTACACAGATGGAGGATATACATTCAATGTTAGCTTTCCATCTTATAAGACATTAAATACTTAACCTTCTAGGCCGTGAGAAGTGTATGTGGTATATTTTGGGAAGGTGAAACAAATTAGTTATTTTTACATTTTACAAACAGTAATATTTCTGGATTTCTCAGCCAATAAATAACAACTGATTAGAAAATATGATAGATTACTGAAATGCTTATCTTGAAGCATATTATCATAGCAAACAGATTATCATATGTAACTACATCTTAAACCTTGCACAAAGGTTAGGAAGACAGTTGGAACATAGTGGAACTGGATCTTCGGTAACTATGTTTGATATAGCACAACACATGTACTAAATTAACTTTGTATATTTACAGACTCTTCTGTGGAGCTGGATAATATTCTCAAGGCTAATACTGAAGGCAGCATGAAAACAGAAGGAACGAGACACTCACTTCAAAGCGAAACATTAATGTATTCAGTGGAAGAATGCACGTGCAGTGACTGTGGCCTCGTGCGACCTCAGACTGGCTGTGAAACTTCATTTCCATTGCCAGCTACAGAAGAAGGAGCGACTGTTCTAGTTACCACAAAATCTTTTGATTATTGCAACTATATTCTGGGTGCTGGGTGACTATGAGAGAAGTATATTTTTACTGCATAATAATAAATGGGTTATTCCAGTATAGATACTAATACTTGCAGTCAGCAGAGAAGGCCAGTACATCATCCTTAGAGATAATACATCCTTTCAATAATATTGTCATTATTTCTAATTCTAGTATCTCTTTGGTCTGTGTTTCTATATTATTCTCAGGTACTAAACTAGTTATTGGAATTTTTAATTTCTGAAAGTTCCTAAGTAGAATGGCTTTTTCTGCCTTTAGAGATTGTATCTACATATGCTGTATATATACAAACCCATGAATAAACACATCTGAAAGATACATTTTATGAGAAACGCAGATCTTGTGCCAAAAATTGCTTGGTGGTACAGAAGCAATGCTCCAGGAGGCAGAGATGAAGACCCACATTACACCCCAGTCTTGTAAAGAATGATTTCAAATAGCCCCTATGATGCTTGCAATAGGGATGTTCTAACAGTGAATCCCTTTGAAGTGTGCGGCGCCCTGCAGATCAGACAGCGTCTCTCGGTCATGCCATGGAAGCTGGTGGTGCTGTGAAGCCAACGTATGTTGTGGTGGTGCAGACCTTCCTTTAAGTGCCAAGCGTTTTTCAGACTGTTTTCTATGAAGATTTTGGTTTTACTGACATTTTCCTTACCTTTGCTATATGTACAAGTACTGCTGATTCACTGTAGTCATGCTAGGCTGCTATGTGGCCTACAATTAGGAGTATGCTTTTGTCATCTCACATCCCAAACACTGATGTTATTTTCCTAGTATTAGGCCAGTTTTATTTCTGGAAAACTGCAATGACAGCAGCAACAACCATCTTTTTATTTGTAGCTGACTTTCTATTGCAGGTTCTTGCATGAATGATGAATTTAACTCTTTTAAAGACAATTATTGCACAGAATCTACAAACATTCAATATTACAGCATCTTTAGGAGCCTGGCCACAGAGTTTGGGTCAGTTATTAGTTAGATGGCCACACATAGCCACACATAGCCAAAAACTCTGAAACAGGCCTACAGAGCCATTAAATTTATTATTATTACTTTATCTAGGAACTCTTCAAAAAAAGGTTACACCGTTGCTCCACATCACACGGAGCCGTGCATTGCCGATAACACAGCACCGCGTTGAGACAGCGCACAAATACAAACCAGCAAGATGATGCCTTAAAATGAGTCTGCAGCATTCAAGAAAATGGCTTTGTTACTTTGCCATGGTTTTGCATTAGGTGGTCCACAATTTCTGTAGTGTTTTTTTGCCACATGGATCTTTCAGGGCTGTTGTGTACACTGCACATGTGGCAGTACAGTGTATTTTATGTCCATTTCCCTCATCTTTCATGTACCCAGTACTTCTTTTCAGGTTGACCCCGGGCTGTCCTGGGGGGAGGAAGCACAGGACACGGGGGTTGGTTGGTGACCCCAGGCCGAGCCCGGGCTGTCCTAGGGGGAAGCCCAGGACACGGGGTTGGTTGGCGACCCCAGGCCGAGCCCGGGCTGTCCTGGGGGGAAGCCCAGGACACGGGGTTGGTTGGCGCCCCCAGGCCGAGCCCGGGCTGTCCTGGGGGGAAGCCCAGGACACGGGGTTGGTTGGCGCCCCCAGGCCGAGCCCGGGCTGTCCTGGGGGGAAGCCCAGGACACGGGGGTTGGTTGGTGACCCCGGGCTGTCCCGGAAGGAGAACAGGGCGGGGGGTGCTGGTTACCCCACACTCGCCCCCCTCCCCCCCATCGCCCTTGTCAGGGCCCGAGCAGCCTCGTGCCTTCTGCG